CCCCAAAACCCCAAAACCCCAAAACCCCAAAACCCCATGATAATGATTATTAGATATCAACGTGAATTTAAGATAAAATTCTATTAATGAAGAGATAAATAGTAAAATGCGGGTAAATAGAGATATTTATGATGAGTTAATGTTCTTACAAGTAAAGTAAAACAAGTATTGAAATAAATAAAGTAATTTCACTCAAACATCAGTTTGAATCTTACTCATTCTTGTGAATGATGATCCCAGAAGTTTGTGAGTTAAGCCTTTGCTTTTCTCTTTGGATGATGAGGTTGAGGCTTGGTGGTGTTTTTCTAGGATTAGGCATAGTAATTGTTACTGTATGAGTAGCTGTAGTCGCCATTAAGCTCTGCAATGATTCTGTTTACGTATCTTTCTAACTCTTAATAGTTTCTCTCAAAGTCTTCAGGGTTGGTAGTATAATTGGTATAAGCTTCAGCAATTTGCTGTACTTCTTTTTGCTTGATAAGTACTAACTCTACAACGTATTTGGAAACTAGTTGATCAATTTTCTTCAAGTCTTATTCAGATGGGACCCATGTTTGATAGTATGTTTGATTATCATCTTCTTGAGTATAGTTTTGATAATAATATCCTTGACTCATTCTATTGAGCTCTTCATATGTTTGATTGACAAACCATTCAAATTGGTATTAGTAGCATAATTATTAGAGACCTTATTCACCTGCAGCTCTGAACTCTTCCTTGTCCATATCGAAATCAGCAGACAATGAAGTCACAACTTACCAAGCATATTCAACAAGAGAATCGAATGTGCTCTATTCATCTTCGGTCAAGTTGTAGTTGCCGTAAGGGCAGTAGTTATAGCTATCAGCGGATGCATCAGTATAGTTATATTCTCCAGTAGAATTATTTTCTTCTGTAGAGTAATATTCTCCTGTAGAGTTAAATTGTGTGCTGTTATTTTAGCCATCGTCGTCTTATCTAATTTGAGAAGCAAGTATTTTCTTAATTAAGCTTGAAGATTAAGTGAAAACTCTTCTGTTAGTGTCTGCCTTCATTGAGATTGAGAAGGAAGTTCCTAGGAAGGTGGTGAGGACAGCTGAGATAAAGATATACTTTTAGGCGATCATTTTAATATTATTAACCTAGTATTATTATGGGCCTTTAAATAGCATCATGATCGCAATTTTTAAATTTGGATTTGTCAAAAATAAATTAAAAAATAGTAAATATTAACAAAATTAGAATTATTTCTTCTCCAGCTATTATTAATAAACGTTATATTTTAGTATATGATAAAGAATTTTAGTGATTCTATTTATTTTTAATTCTATTGGAAATTCCACCATTTACACTCAAGGGGTTTTGGGGT